GACAATCCACTTCCACTTAAGGACAATCCACTTCCACTTAAGGGATAGTAAATACATTTTCTCTTCCTTATGGTTTTCTTGATAACATTTCCTCTTCCCTAGGTTAATTTACTGTGAAAATACAGTATATTAATACATATGACATACAAAACCTGCCTATTTATGTTCTCAGTAGGGCCTCCAGTCAACATAGGCTATTAGTAACTATGTTTTGGAAGAGTCAAAATTTATAAGCAGATTTGACTGGGGAGGAAGGGGTCAGTGCCCCTAACCCCTGGTGTTCAGAATCAACTTTATATTCATGACGGTATCTTGTTGAAAAGAGGGTCAACCTCATCGTCTTTGGGCGAACCTTTCCGTGATCTTCACTAAAATAATGCTATTGAACAGAAAGGCTGGAAAGCGAATACTGCTTGCAGAAGAATTAACAGTAACCCCCAAACCTTCCTTCACCTTACAACACGTTGATGAGTTTCTCTTTATAAGCGGGGTATTCTTACTCCACAGCTAGCCGAGCAATTTACTGCATGTTAATTAAGGGAAGAAATATACCTTTCCTGCAAAACCAAGAGCAGCAGGCGTAGCAGATTCTGGAACAGTGCTAACCAAATCGGCATCCACAGGAGCTTCGATCGCCAGCTGCTGGCCACAACGATACCTTACTGTATATACCATTTGGTCTGGTATGTTTGGAAAAGGAAAGAGATTAGTTTTACTCAGCATAATATAATATTGCTATTCTAAACAACAGTGCTACCGATCTATATATTGATATAAAAAAGAAAAGCAATGTATACAAAAATATTCAAATGGAAATACACAAATTGGGGACTTCACATGGTTTTTAAAAAAACTGACATTACAGATCTGAAAATCATAATCCTTACTTACTCATATAAGAAAAACAAAATCCAGGAGTTGAAAGAGAAGGAAAAATGGGCTCGGTGCCCACTGGCATCTGTAGCACAGCGGTTATGGCGCCAGCCATATACACTGAGGCTGGCAGGTTGGAACCCCGCCCAGGCCTGCTTAACAACGACAACTGCAACAAAAAAATAGCCGGGCTTGTGGCAGGCGCCTATAGTCCAGCTACTTGGGAGTCGGAGGCAAGAGAATCGCTTAAGACCAAGAGTTTGAGGTTGCTGTGAGCTCTGATACCACAGCACTTCACCAAGGGGCAACATGAGACTCCATCTCAAACAAAACAAAATGAAAAAAAAAAAAAAAAAGAAAGGAAAAGAAAAATAGTGACCTTGTTCTATATCCTCCTTTCACTATGTGTCTAAGAGCCAAGAATTGTCATGTTTCAATTTGATAACTACAAAATTCACATGAACAGCCAAAGAAAAAACATTTACATACCTTCAAAGATACTATCTGGTCTTGCAAAATAAACATATTCAAAGATACAAAAAGCAACTGGGTTTCCTTCAGACCTTGAAACAATATCAAGAGTTCGAACATTATGTCTGGATATTTCCACAATTTCTCCAGGCAAGACTTCACGATAATACCTTAGGAAATAAGAAGGCTTTTAATAAACTAGTCCTTATGGTTGATGTTAATAATTATAATATACACAAAAAGTCCCTTCCTTTACAGAGAAAAAGTTGATTCATTTAATATAAAATCTGGAGATGGCTTTAAAAAAGGCAACATGCCTCTAGCAGTAATTTCTGTACATCTTTTTGTTACTACTAAGTTATAATTTAGAATTTAAAAAAATAAGAGTCCATAGCCTGGCATTGTGGTGGGCGGCTACAGTTCCAACTTCTTGGGAGGCTGAGGCAAGAGAATTGCTTAAGCCCAAGAGTTTGAAGGTTGCTGTGAGCTATGATGCCATGGCACTCTACCGATGGCAACATAGTGAGACTCTGTCTCAAAAAAAAAAAAGAATCCAAAGTCTTATAGAGTTTTGAAAGAATAAAGGCTAAAGAAAAAAATGTTCATCCTAGCATAAGTTTTTCTATTGTAACTCTTCCTTGTTGAGGAAGTTCTTCCTTTCTAAAATAAGTGGTATTTTGAAAGGATGCCAGTTTCAGAATTAGAAGCTATTACTAGAACATTACTAGATATTATTAGAATTATAAGATATTACTAGAACACTCAGCTAAACTCAGTGCAACTGCTGAACAAAATGTTCACAAGAAAATCCGTTTATAGGCCAGCCATGAGGACTCACGCCTATAATCCTAGCACTTTGGGAAGCTGGGGTGGGAGGACTGTTTGAGCACAGCAGTCAGAGGCTACTGCAGTGAGCTGTGATCACACCACTGCACTACAGCCTGGGCAACACAGTAAGACCCCATCTCAAAAAACAAAGAAGAAAATGCATTCATAAATATTTTCTTACAAACAGCAAAATATCAGAAGTCTTTCATGTAAGTATCAAAGCAACAATTTCTTATCAATGTGGGAAAAGATAATGTATCAAATGAGGTCAAACTTACCTCGCACCAATAGATAAAAAGCTACAGGATTCTGAAGACACCACCCATCCTTCTGTTTCTGATGTTTTCTTCTCTGTAAATCACAAGATAATCAATTCAGTTAATGGATTCAAGAAATTTTATTTTTTAGTTTTTAAGTTTTTCCTCAGCGGTTTCTATTTAAAGCCATTTCTATGACTTGAAGAACATACAGAGCCTCATTTGAAAATAAATGGTCCTTCAAAATTCCTTCTAACATGATTTCTAACATGAATTCCTTCTAACATGGATTGAATAGGACATCTTGATAAGCCAAAAAGAAAATGACTAATATCATGCTGCAAAAATGAAAAGGCTGGGCAGAGTATCTGAGGAAGCAATCCACTCAGGAAAGAAAAATACGCATGGCCATTAGGCACAGTAAAGTGACTCATCCTGACATAAGTGTACTTTAAAAACTAAGAAAAAAACACTCAGGGCCTGTGGCTCAAGTGGCTAAGGCGCCAGCCACATATACCTAAGGTGGCGGGTTCAAATCCAGCCTAGGCCCTCCAAAAACAACAATGCTGGGCGTTGTGGCGGGCACCTGTGGTCCCAGCTACTTGGGAAGCTGAGGCAGGAGACTCACTTCAGCCCAGGAGTTGGAGGTTGCTGTGAGCTGTGATGCCACTGTACTCTACCCAGGGGGAAAATTTAAGCATCTGTCTCAAAAAAAAAAAAAACTAAGAAAAATAAAAACAGAAACAGAAGAATGCCATTTTTTTCTCTCTCTCTCTCTTTTTTTTTTTTTTTGCAGTTTTTGGCCGGGGCTGGGTTTGAACCCACCACCTCCGGCATATGGGGCCGGCACCCTATTCCTTTGAGCCACAGGTGCTGCCCCATTTTTTTCTTTTTTAACTATCCTCCTCTCACCTGCAAGTTTCCTATGCCTCAAGACTTCAGGGCTTGCCAGCAGGAGGATAATAACTCTGAAAAACACTATAAAACTATACTCCTGAAGTTCATTACCTTTGTGCTTTATATCAGACACCGGAATCAGACGACCAATGCATAGGGGCCGATTTCCATAAGGATCTCGTACTGCGTAAATAACATCTCTGTGCATTATAAGCAGGGAGTATGCTGTGGGCGCTTCCTTCATTAAGTTTTTAATCCTGGAATTAATTAAATAATTGAATGAATAGCTTCAGTCACAAATGAATGCAAGGCCAACTTCTCATTGACCAGAGCTGCCAGGTAGTCTAGTTTTACGTTACCTTGCTACCCAGTCTGGGGTGTCATCCCGTTCCTGAGGAGGGGTGTATGCTAGTAACTGGGTAATCATTTCACTATCAGAACTCGTCGACAGACCAACACCATGTCGCAGAAGCTGTACAGAAAAAACAGAAGTTTAATCATCAGAGGGGAAGCTCCACTTCACATATCACCCAACGCCCAGCATAATGGAATGAAAGCAGGTATTGCATGAATGCTCAGTTCTGAAAAACATCTCACTAGAGGTGTTTGTGTGTACCAATAACAGAGCTCCACTGATAGAAGCAACGGAAATCTCTGGTGGTTTTCAAGCAGGGAAGAAAGTGCTTCTGTGGATACAGGGAAAAGCTGCTGAAGACTAATCTCAAAGGCATGTAGACCTGGGGGGGGGGGCGGGGGGAGTGTGAGATTTGGTTTATTGTCTCCACCCTTGACATTGTTGACACATAAGATATAGTCTCACTACGTGATCACTTTCAAGCTGGGTTTGTTGGTGGTAGGCAACCCAGTGTCTGCCCATCCTCACTGACCATTACTGAAGAAAGAAAGGAATTGTATTGATTTATTACATGTAGAATAGGTAATAAGTATTGCCTGAGTACACTCTACAGCAATACAAAGATGTGGGCAGGATAACGACCCCACAGACACACACAGAATGAGTCCAAGTGGACACAACAGAACATTGTCAGTGGGCAGCTCCACGTGTAGAGATGAGGCCTAACATCTGGGTAAAGGGCCGTGTTTACAAACAATGAATTACTGGTTTTCTGTAAGTTGAAGATTTTAGGAATGTTTACTTGATATTTACACTTTTGTAACTGCCTGAATTTTAAAAATGAACTTTGCAGTTTCTCATTTGGGTACAGAAAAGTCCATGATCATTATAATACCCTAGCCTAAGAAGAGGGCAGGGCAAAGCTCTGGGAAATACCTTAAGTTAAAATTGAACATAGAAAGACAATGAGTGAAAGAGCGGAGTGGGGCCTGGGTTATTTTTGACCCACCAGTTCGGCACTATTCAACTTCTACCACTGTTCATCCTCCGTGAACGCCTGGGTCCATCGGGCTAAAGGATGCTGGTGTATGTGTGTAGCCATCCTGTTACCAACTACCTCCTGGTTCTGAGGCTACGAAATCCAGATCACTGGAAACTAATAAAGTGAAGAAATTTAGTATTAATGAATGAATGTCATGAAGGGACAAAAAAGAAGCTACCAGGAATATAAAAACACCAAGTAGTTTAAAAAAAAAAAGATGAAATGACGGAGGAAGGCATTAGGCGCACATCTGACACCACTGGTACAGGAAGCTCCAAACAACATTCCGTGAACAGAGAGTTAGGCAAACACTTTGTCCCTTCTCTGAGATCTATTATAGTTTCCCGTAATTGTTTCTGATTCATTTTTTCTCGTATTTGTCATCTTCAAATTTATACTCCATTTCCTTCTCTGGCTTCTGTGATTTTGTGGTAGACAAGAAGAAATACTTACGCTGGTTTCCCCCTGGTCTACTAAAACTTAGAAATGCCAAAATGATTAAGTATCTTTTTGTATGCTAATGAGATGACCAGTGGCCAGCATCAGGATGCCAGCTGGTTGCCAAGGGAATCAATCACGTGATTAGCGGACTGCCCAGCCAGCTTCATCCCCGGACTTCTGGGGAGAGAAGGGCTAAGTCTGAGTTGATCACCCCCATGGCCAGTGATTTGATCACTTGTGCTGCCACTTAACGAAGCACACCCCCAGAATCAATTTCCCCAAATCTCTACTCTAAGGCCCTACATTCGAAAGGTGAGCATTTTATTTTATTTTTTTGAGACAGAGCCTCAAGTTGTCCCCCCCGGGTAGAATGCTGTGACATCACAGCTCACAGCAACCTCCAACTCCTGGGCTCAAGTGAGTCTCCTGTCTCCGCCTCCCAAGTAGCTGGGACCACAGGTGCC